GTGTGTGTGTGTGTGTGTGTGTGTGTGTGTGTGTGTGTGTGTGTGTGTGTGTGTGTGTGTGTGTGTGTGTGTGTGTGTGTGTGTGTGTGTGTGTGTGTGTGTGTGTGTGTGTGTGTGAGTTGCTGAAAGACACGTGCTTGGCCAGACAGAGAGCCCTTCATGTCACGTTTCACTCAAACATAGCTGCGCACATCACGAGTGGCATGACATGACATTACCTCCTTGGATGATCATGGTGCCATCGGCGGTGGTGACGGCGCTGTGACTGTGGCGCATCTGTGGCAGTCCATCGCTTCCAGACGCTGCAGTCACGTATGATGTGTGTGTGTGTGTGTGTGTGTGTGTGTGTGTGTGAATGAATCAGAGCGTGTGAATAGAAGCGCCGATCAAGGCGTGGGGAGCCAGTTGTCGCCAAATAGAGTGCAGTTGCAGCTGTTTGTTGCCTGTGCTTGCAAGCACCCTCACCTGTCGCTGGCACAAGCGTCCACGTCCCATTTCCGGGATGGTACGCCCACATGTCGTTGAAGAAGGACGAGTGGCTGCTCACCGGCACCTGCAGAGCGTCACATCAAGAGATACGACAGAGCGATGACTATGGAGGCAAAGCGGGGTGTGGCAAAGGAAACAGATGTACTCACACACGCACGCACACACGCACACACACACGCGCACACACGCACACACGCACACACGCACATACACACACGCACACACACGCACGCACACGCACACACGCACACACACGCACACATGCACACACGCACACACGCACACACACGTACACTCACCGTTGTGCTGTTTGTGCCGCCAAAGATGACAACGTATTTCTGCCAGGAGCCAGAGATGTTGAGCTCCAACACGACGCTCGTGTGCGAATGGCGAGGGGGCGGCAATGTCGTTGTCGTGCCGCTGGCGTTCATGGATTGCTGCACCCAGTCTGGCGTGGGTGACCCGCACGTGTACACCCACGTGTCGCCCAACACCTGCAGTTGACGCGTTTCGTTGACGATGGGCCCGGGAACGTTCATGACCCCTCCAAACATCACCAGCACGTCGCCAATCGTCGTCAGGCTGTGGCCCGCGCGTGCTATTGGTGTGTGGTTGGTGTGCACGCGCTGCCACGAACGCACAGTTGACGTCTGCGGTCGCAGCAGCCACGTCTCCGCAGACACAGTAAGACTTTCTCCACCTCTCTCATGTAGTGGTTGTGTGGACAAGATGAAGAAGTTTTGTTGAAAAAAATTGAAAAAAGGG